GACATTCACGAGATGTATTGACCCTTGCTCGTAGGTGTCCGATAAATCTACACTACTACCCGACTGCGCCTATTCCCACGCGAGAGAATAAAGGCTGTCTTTAGGCCATTTGATTGGTGAGTGGGCGGGGTTGCAGTATTCGTCTGCCGGTGGCATCGCGACAAATCCTGATTGTTGCCTCGCTATGGAACTGTCAAGTTTGAGGCGAATGAGGCTTTACACGATAAAAAGTGAAGTTTCGGAGATCAGATGCCTGAATAGGAAAGAAGACTTTCAGGGGGATTAATGGTGGATATCCGGGCTTAGTAGATGGAGGATCGTGAGACTAACGCTATAGCTGCTTCAGGCAATTAACCTTACATAATATTATAGGCATTCGCAAAACGACATAAAAAGGTACGTGGGTTGCGAAATTCTGCCTTGGAGTGCAAACAACTGCAAGGTAATGTCATAGGGGTCTCTTCAACCAGCCAACACGTTTTATGGTCGTAATGGCACAAATAGACTGACAGCAGTAGTTCTTGCAGCTAGTAGATGTGGAATCGGCCGGATCTACAGGTACTAGTAGGAGATCGAGAACCATAGTGGACTACTGTACGCTCTATATCTAAAAACCCACAGTTCCATCCTTAATCCCGCCACCCCCCTTGTAATACAATGGCATCGCCCCAGACCTGCAAATACGTCCGGGAACCTTTGTACAAAGTAAATGCGTTATGTGTATCGGCTACCAACCCTATTTTGAGCATGTGTATAAAATTCTCAACGCTCGTGAGGCTAATTGAAAGTGTAGCGTTAGGATGGCAAGTGGTTTATATGTCATTATGAGAATATCACTAGATTAGTCTGGTCACAGGCCCTACTTGCAACATAGACTCAAGGCAGATTCTTGGCCACTGATGTTTCCGATTTTCTATAATTATAGTTGTGCTATTCCCGGCTACCATAGAGCCACATGAGGCTCCATGTACCGGCAGCTGAACCAGGGCTGGTGTCGTGCAGTGCTTAGCATGCATAAATGGGGTTGGCTGCCGAATTTGGAAGCTCAAAGAATGGAAAAGCCGAAAAGAGATGTATATACCGTTCTACCATTCTTTAAGGGATCATCAGGACCGTTTAGGTCTTAGCTACCTTCCTTCCAATATAAGCCAAAATTCATGGGACAGAGATGAACTGTAACACCAGGGAAACCCTTTTCTTTACAAGGTTAACAAGAAAGGAACAATACTTGTCAAGCAACCCAACCCAAGCTGGAGACACGAATGAGAAATGGCCAATACTTTGGCCATACTTAAAGAACATTATCTTCGGCAAGGTCATCTGCAGCCGTGATATGCAAACGGCACTCCTTGAAGTCTCTGCTGTCGGTTCATAGATGTCATGCCTTTGATTTGTCTCTCGTAATTGTAACGTGTTATTTACAGTAACGTAGGAGCTACCTCGACGTTGAAGTTGTCGCCGTAAAGGGGAATCCTGATCTTACTCAGTACCCCTGCCTCAAGGTCAAGTGATCATACAATGTTGAATTCCACGAAAGCTTTTACGTCCTGGTGCGGATTGATTGCAACGGAAGAGGCAGTTGATAGATAATATTGAGAAGATCACCAAGATTGAGATACAGCATCTAATAAGCTCGAACCCAGCAGACCTTAATACATGTGCTATAATTTAATGCTACACAGAATAGGCTTTCTAAGGTAGAATCACAGTCGAGGGAACGTTACAAGTTTTCCACGACTTTTAATGTAAATTACTGACCGTTCACAAAAACAAACCGGGTTGCGCCTGAAGAACTCTACAGCCGTTGGGTGTACAGTTACATAAGGCCCACGGAAGAATCAAACTTACTTGCAAAAACCACATTGAGACCAGCATATGAGCCTACGCTCGTTGGCTATTGTTGAACAAAGTGATCAGTACATTACATAAAGAGGCTAACCCCACCTTTATACACAAACGTTAGGATTAGCCATACTGTTCCGTGCATGGTAGCGATCAGTCGTCTTGGGGGCCGCGGCGATTCTTATAACGATGACAGGGGTATATTAACTTGCATTCAACATGAAAGGGGTTAGTAGTAGTAGAGGGCCTTACTAGGGCAAATTTTGTCCCTTACATACAATTAGTTACTGCTTAGTTTCGATGCATATCTTGTTGATTTTCTGTATGAACTATTGAATTGACTTGTGACATATCATGTTTTATCAATTGGCTCCGTATTGAGTCTACTGATATTCAGTCGTCTTGGATATTTAATAGTTCCTTGAGTAGGGCTCAGGGGTAGTCAAGTTACCCTGGGCAAGCCCGGGTCATTCTAACGAACATAAGCAGCCCAGCGAATACTCATTTAATAGACATACATTCGTACTCCATTCCAGGTGTCAAGCATTTTCTACTGTCGCTGGGGTTTGGATTGCTGCACGATAGATTGTAAGACCTAAATCTGTAAATTTGGAGCAATAGCTAGATTCGGCAAATGACAACTGGCAGCGAACTACTACACCGACTCACCTTACCCACTCACATTTCTTTTCCTGGTGAGTAAACTGAGGATTCTAGCAGTTGCATTCGAGAGATTTAGGATGTGTTCTTCGTAAGATCTTTTAGTTCTACGGTCATGTGTTCTCAATGACAAATCACTGCTTAAGAACCGAGGCTAAATGCCAGAGTTTTGAAGACGACTTACTTGCTACAAGATCAATCTATCTAAGTCGAGACTTCACCTTTCCTAAACAGAATGGCTCACGCTTCTAATAGCCCAATGCGAATACTGTTTGGCCAGAATAGTTTTGCACCTAACCTCTGACATGGAAGCATGACGAGTGCCCAACAGGATGAGGTAGGTTTTCAAGGGATTAGAGTAATAACGGTAGTCTGTATAGAAAGAAAAAGGTTATTCCCTGACCTTTAACACTGATTTAATTGGGGATAGGTCACGCGTTGATCGAATTCACTATGTTGACTCTCTCATACCGTCAACTAATAGTTATTTCTATAAAGTCGAAATATATAACTCAGAGTTGCTTATCAATAACCATCTCAAGTTCCGAGTCTCGCTCATACACCGAAGAGAGCTTGCGGCAGTTTGGCTACTTTGCTAGTCTTATTTATCTGCAAGATCATTACCACAATATCTAGCATCTAATGTCTGTATTCACACACGCGTCTTCAAACTATGAGACACAACCCGAAATACCCTCTGTGCTACACAAATAATCGTTCATGTTCGATTCAATGTTGCGCAGTGTATGCATAGCAGCGTAACTCAATGCCAATTTCTATGAAGGACCGGTGTGATACCTTGAAATCTCGTTTTCATCGCTTCTTGTGTCCTGTATGTGTGACACTGACTTTAATTTCTCCGGAGCGTTCAATGCTGCTCTCATTATCGTCGGTATTACAGCCATGAATAAAAGGAGAGTAATACTCTTATCGGTACCACATCAACACAATCTTGTACCTAGGAAAGAGATGAGAGATTCCTATTTTGCTCAGATATGAGACTCACGCTGGTGACTGATTCTGCTTCATCTAATTTTATATGTGTAACGTCGCTCGATTGGTTGTGGCTTTGCGTGAATACATAATGAAGACCACTTCCATATTTCTAGCTCGCCAGGAGCTTTCTTTCCCACATTCGCCAAATTCGATCTCCTATTCCTTTAGTCAAGTTACTCCATACGCTCGTTTCAAGATGTTTTCAAGCAAGTTCCTTGCCATCGTTCTCTCCTTCATGGTGGTGACTCCGATCCTTGCGGGGAGGACTCCACAAGGCTATGGCTACGGCGACGTGACTGAGACGGTTTTCGGTGCATCTACTGGCTCGCCTGAATACACGGACAACACGCCATATCCCCCCGTCGTTCCCCTCACAATCACGGACTCTGTCACTCTTACCAAGCCTGTCACGGTCGAGGTCACGGTCACCCATACCGTTACCCCGGAGTGCAGTTCGGAGATCGAGTTCACGACTACCAGCAGCGGTACTACTAGTACCACCCTCACCACCACTACCAAGATCACTGTGTTTGTTCCCGGAGGTTCATCGTCTGGAACCCCAGTTACCCAGCCCACTGCAGCAACCCCTGGATTCTCAGGAGCAGATATATCCACTATCACTATTGGCACTCCTGCTGTGTCGACCACCACAGGTTTCGTCGCGAGCGATATCACAACGTCGTCGTGTGCGTCAATTACTAGTAAGCTATCACCTCCTCCCGTGTTGCTGAGGGTATTCTAACTCGTTATCCTAATACAGCCAGTGATGAGGTAGACGGTGTAACGGAAAGTGCGTCAGGCACACCCATTAGTGCCACTACTCTCTCTATTGGTTCAAACACAGAGACGTCAGGTGTGGGGTCGGGAGCTTCGACCGGTATCGTGGCAACGCACACTTTTTCGTCTCCAATGGTGCCTCTACCGACCATCGTTATCTCGACTGGCGTTCAGTGGATGGTAGACGCTCGACTTCTTGCGGTTCTGCCCTTCTGGGTACTTGCTCTGGCTGTTTGATCACTTAACATCTAGAAGCAATGATAGCGTCGTGTGGTGGAGGGGTAATCGTGGTCCTGGTCGGCTTGCTTCTCGATTGATATTGAAGGGGTGTCAAGCAAGTACGAGAGTGCGATGAATCAGTTTCATGCCTTCTTGGTGTTGTAGTATCATTGAGTATCTCGCATTAATTACCCTAATGGAAAAGCTCGTAGAATGTATCACTTCGATTTCACTCATTAAAAAAATCAATGTTTCGCGAAAGCGAAGTAAGTGGCGTTCATCACAGCTGGGCGAACTGATAACTACTCAGCCCTAGACACGCGATTTGAATCCCGCCAGCCGTCCCGTTCTCCAAATACACTTCTGCAGCTTTTAGGTTACTCGGCCTTACATGAAATCCAGTGACAGATCGTTCGCTCCTAGGAGAGGCTCTCAATGAAGCCTCAAGTTCGTCTGCCTTGGATGAATGAACGATCTTGTTGTATGATAGATTCAGAATCACCATCGCCCTGGTAGCTCAATTGGTTAGAGCGTCGGACTTTTACCAAGGTATATGTCATCCGAAGGCTGCGGGTTCGACCCCCGCCTGGGGCGGCGACAGGTTCCTCTGTTTTTGCTTCTATTGATATAGCATGTGTTATGTTTTTTGCTCCTTTTTGTTTTTGAAGCAGAAGTATACTAATAAGACAAGTGTTTTAGGCCCCTACAAGTTACGCCGATTCGGATCAGTGTGAAACGTTACTCTAAGCAGTCATTTTATATCCGGACACATTGCATATCAACGAAAGGACACAGGAATACACGATGAGCAACATCAACGCAGAACCTAAGTTTTTTCCTCTGTATAACTTATTATCTCATTTGAATATGGTCAGAGGAAACTGATCGGCAATGGCCTGGTAACCCGCCGGATTCGGATGCAGATGATCGCCACCATCGTACTGCGACGCCAGGTTTGCCGGCTGCGACGGGTTGGCCAGGAACTTCGCAAAATCGATCGAGGCAGCAAAGCTACCGTCTCCACCGGCCAGAATCCACTTGTTCACCGTTTGCCGTGCCGAGTCGCGCGTCGGGTTGCTGTACGCCTGCCCGCTGCCACCGAAAGGTGTGATCGTTGCTCCGAACATAGTGATGCCCGCCGCCTTGGCATCGCTCGCGATGGTCTTGAAGGATGACTCCAGACTGCTGCTGATTCGTGACTGTGTGCCCGAGTCCGCTGACCCACCACCAATGTCGTTGACGCCTTCGAAGATGAGACCGTATTTGACGCCCGCTGTCTGCAGTAGATCGCGCTTGTAGCGCTGCATTAGCGGTGGTCCCAATCCCCCGGTTAGGACCGTGTTGCCGCCCGCTGCTTGGTTGACCACGGCAATATTCGTAATGTTCTCCTTCTGCATCCTAGCGAGAAGCAGGTCCGGCCATCTAAAACACATATTAGTCTTTGTGAATTCATATTTTTCCCCACGTTGTTTAGTCTAACCGGTTATTCTTGTTATCAGTGCTCCCACGACCATCTGTGATGCTATCACCGAGGATCACTAAGGCCGCGGTCGACTTCGGCGCCCAGGCCTCGACTGCATTCAAAAAGTACCAATGGGCCGTGTTCGCGCCGGTTATGCTGGAGTCATTGACGTGGTTTCCCTGCTGCATCCACGAACTTGTACGACTGCCGGGGTGACCCGTTATGCTAGTACCAGACTGACCAGCTTGAGAGTACAGAGTGACTGTAATCATGGACTGTGGTGCAATCTTCACGTCGATGGGATCTGTATAAACTACCTGACCCTGAGGTATGCTCACTGAGCTTGCGCCATTGAAAGTGAGGCCCCTGAGAGTTGTAGTATCGATGCCGCTGACACCTGCCTCACCGCCAGTAGGCAAAGCCAGAGAGGCTGCTGTTATGGGCAGGGCGCTGCCGCCAAAAGTGTTGGAGATCAGGATACGAATTCTCTCGGCACCAATGGACATATGGAGTGTCTGGCGGAGAGTGGCATCCCTAAAAACGCCGTTTCCAGTCTAGATGGGCACATTAATTACTTGTCACTATGAGTGCAAGTTCGGGAAGACTATAGCACTTACGAAGGGAGACGGGGGAAGGTTGTTCTGCTCGACTAACTGCGGCATCGACGTCCAAGTGGCGACCCAATGAGAGTCCGCATCTTGCCTTCGCTGTAATTTCTCAACATCCAGAGGCGATCCAACGACCCAATTTGACCATAGCAGACAGGCTGCTGCCGACAACAGCTTGAGTTTCATGTCACCAAACATCTCCAGACAGATGATTGACGCTCAGGTAATCTATGCTTTTGGACGTGAACGCAGGAATGCCAAGACGACGGCAATCTGAATCGCAACATTGGTATCGATGGAGAGGTATTTATACTGCCCTTCAACTTTCGATGCTGTGGGGGATTATCCAGGCTCGCGGACAACCCGCCTCCGTTACATCGGAATTTTGGCAGCATTTAGCCGTATCTAGCGTCTATTCTGGATAAGAAAACATTTCCATACAGCCGTGAGTGGCTCGCTAGGATTATTCGCTTCGAACTAGATCTCTATATAGATCTCTATACCGGAGGAATGGAAAGGGGGGGAACCTTGCTTGATGGCATGCTTCCCCCCTTCTCCGGGAGAACTACTTCCTGTACGTATCCAAGGGCGCCGATGATATCTACTTTGCTTTCCGGATGGTTTAGTATCCGTTTTCCGAACGGTCCCCGAAAAAGAGGGGAGCCGCCGGTACGGGACAATTGCACAGAAAGCGGTGCTAGGTAGGATGGGCCAAGCCCATACTTCGATACTACCGTAGATTCAAGAATCTCGGTAGGAATCGATATCCAATTACATCCACACCACCACCCACCTGTGTTCGGGGGCCTGCATGTTGGTGCGGTACAGCAGCGGGCAAGATGATAGATGATTCTCACATGTAGGATTGCAGGAATATGTCTTGGCCAGAGAAGTTGACCAAACGCACCTCAGAGAAAAGAGGACGTGATGTGGGAGGATAATTCCATTGGCTCAAGAGTAGAACGGCGGTGAGCTACGACAAATCCTGTGCTTAAAGATGACCGGCTGGCAACTGCATCACCGGTCATGCAGGCGCTGTTTGAAGGGATGTATATAGGAACGTGTCAGCGGGTATGTAGCGTCAACAGATAGAAGCTGGGCGAGCAGGTCGAGGAGTGGAGGAAACAATAGGCAAAACCAGAGAAATTGAAGAAGATGGATGGTATGAATGCTGAGGGTTGGATCCATGCATGATTGGACAACTGGACAAAATGCTCCCACTTCTAAGGGACCTGCCTGCTTTAGGTGTACCTTAGTGCGAATGCCCCGCCGTCTCATCGCCTGCCCCTCTTCCTCGCAGTCACAGCACACAACACACGGCGCACAAGTGGCCTGTACTCTGTAGTTACAGGGTACCTCTTACACAAAGGCATGCTCCGTCACCGGTAACTGGTGGAGGGCGCGTGGTGTGACATATCGACATGACCTACAACAAGCTTCCAATTGGCATCGCACACATCCTATAAAGTAGATAAACTACCTGTCGACTTGTTATAAAATTCAACGAAAATAGAGATTAGCTACTGCATAAAACTTCTACAAGGTCTTTCTGCATTTTCAGATTTAGACCTGTCATACTCTGTCTTATTGTAAGCCAAGTAAGCTACAGGTAAAAGTGCCCCGCCTCCAATCGACACTTACCCCTCCAAGAGGTACCAATTGGCCGACTCGGACCCTTTCGTATGACTTATTTATTTTCCTAAGGTAGGTTTTTTTTTTTCCTATTTCGAGCATTGATCGACTGACTCACTTCTCGACACCAGAGAACTATTTACAACCCAATTCTTGCTTGTCTTTCTTATTACTCTCATTTGGTATATTTCTACCTCTAACCAAGTTCCCTGATACCCCTTGTTTTGCAATACTTGTGCCCGTACTGATCTCTATATCGGTTCCCTCAGCCCTGTGCTGTGCGTCGACTATCGCAGGGTCCAATCACATATTTACGCCATCCCCAGTCTACGGTTCGTCGAAGCTACCCGACCAGCTAGCCCCTGCCAGCATCAGACCGATCATTTTCCATCCTACATCCTACATACTACATCATGCCGGGAGTCGACATGGAGCTGCTCAAGGCTGATGATATGAGAGGTACGTATCTACCATTGGGCTAGGATTGTTGTTGGGGCATTTACACAGTTGGTATGTCTGATAAAAACGAGGCGAACTTGGGGCAAGTGACTGTGAAGATCAAACGAAAAGTTCAAAAGTTGCCATGAGGCAACCTGCCTTGATCTGTCCCATAGCTTGACGCGCAGTTGCATATTGATTTCCAGTCTATCGTGGGTGCTCGCCATGCTGACATGTAGCGATACACTAGTCCTGGGCCAGGATCCTCTGATCCCGCCCGCTCTTCTCATCTCTGAGATCCCCATGACCGATGCCTCGCTCCAAACCGTAGTCAAGGGCCGTCGTGAGGCCGTGTCCATCATCATGGGCCGCAGCGATCGGCTACTGGTCATCGTTGGCCCCTGCTCCATCCACGATCCCGCCATGGCCCAAGAATATTCACAGCGTCTGAAAGGCCTGGCCGAAAAGCTGTCCGATGACCTGTGCATCATCATGCGCGCCTACCTAGAGAAGCCCCGTACCACGGTCGGCTGGAAGGGCCTGATCAACGACCCCGATATCGACAACAGCTTCAAGATCAACAAGGGCCTCCGACTCTCCCGCCAGATGTTCAGCGATCTGACCAACGCCGGCATGCCCATCGCGAGCGAGATGCTCGATACCATCTCCCCCCAGTTCCTCGCCGACTTCATCTCCGTCGGCGCCATCGGTGCCCGAACCACCGAATCTCAGCTACATCGAGAGCTCGCCTCTGGTCTCTCTTTCCCCATCGGCTTCAAGAACGGCACGGACGGGAATTTGGGAGTTGCCATCGACGCTATCGGAGCCGCCGCCTCGAAGCACCACTTCATGGGTGTCACCAAGCAGGGATTGGCCGCCATTACCAGGACCTCGGGCAACGAGCACGGCTTCGTCATCTTGAGAGGTGGCACAAAGGGCACCAATTACGACAAGGAAAACATTCGGCTGGCGAAGGAGACGTTGACTAAGAAGGGTCAAAAGATGGCCATTATGGTGGATTGCTCACATGGTAAGCATAAATCGTGTCCAATTCCATATAAAACGATGGCAGCGAATGCAGCAGTTCTTTTAGCGATTAACTAAATTCGGCCAGGTAACTCAAACAAAGACCACCGAAACCAGCCCAAGGTTGCCCAGGTAATCGGTGAGCAGCTGAGAGAGGGCGAGAAGGCTATTGTTGGCGTCATGATCGAATCCAACATCAACGAGGGCAACCAGAAAGTACCGCCCGAGGGACCTGCGGGTCTCAAGAAGGGCGTCAGCATCACGGATGCCTGTATCGACTGGGATAGCACCGTCACGGTATTGGAAGACCTGGCGGCCGCTGTCCGCGCTCGTCGCGAGAAGAACGGCGCATCAGGGAGCAATAACGGCAACGCCAAGGCCACACAAATCGAAGAAGACTGAAGATTCGAAGCACTGTAACAATTTCA